GACCTCAGTTTGATAGTTAACTATTTGCCCATAGTTGTACCCCTACAAGGTGCTACCACCTCGGGTCAGGGTCGACCTGGGAACACCAGCAATTAAAAGGTGGTTCCATGCTCCTCAAAACCTCCTGACCAGAGGCCTTGCTGTCGGATGTAGTTTATCGTCATGCCCAAGACGCGGATGTGGTTTATCGTCATGCCCAAGACGCGGATGTGGTTTATCGTCATGCCCAAGACGCGGATGTGTTTTATCGTCATACCCAGGACGCAAATGTGTTTTATCGTCATACCCAGGACGCAAACTCGGGACGGGTTCCTCCCACCAAAGTAATGAAAAAAATTCGTATAAAATATGTCCGCAAATCCTACGTTTTCGAGTTGTTAAGTTAGATGGCGTCGTTTTGTCTTATAGACTAGGTGATATTTGTCATTCGTGTACATTTGTGGCTAGTCTGTCTTCAACGTTTACCTTGTGTAGCAGTGAGTTAACTGAGAAATATTCTGTTTAATAATAGCAGGATATTCGTATCCTGAGCAGGCAGATATGATTTTTACATCTGGCTGAGTGATTGGTAATGAATGCGAGGCTGTATCACATTACGTTTCCAGCAATTTATTTCTTAAAAGCTATGTTTAATGGATATCCATATCTGTTTATATATATATATATATATATATATATATATATATATGGAGGCACGGCGCTGTAATGGATAGCGGCTTGGAGAGCAGAGTTCGAATTATGAATCATAATCTTCTCCCCCCAGCTATGGATAAATGACGGGACAGACTGGGTTCTATAGACTTGGATAGCATTTGATATAGGAGGACAAATCTGAATTCAAAACCTGTGGGGGGGTCGTTTGGGGATTTTGTGTCACACAGTGCACCAATTCTCTGTATTCGGCTCTCCAAAAAGTGCGGTTGGTTCTGGACAACGCCATCACCACTATAATCCAATCATATGTGCAGATGTCTAGTTGCCGGTTCCTATTGCTTGACCCTTATATCTCGACAAATGACGAGAGAGTCCAGAATATAGTGATTTTCCAAGCCGAAAGAATGGGGCATTCAGTGAGGATCGAGCTCACTACTCAGTCGTAATTGTTCTAGCGAGACAAGCTTGCTAACCATTGCATCGCCTCGAGGTGCCCTAATGATTTTCTAAGCATAGCTTAGATATGGCACAAGGCCGAAAGTATGGGGTACCCAGTGAGGATCGACTTCACTATACAGTCGTAATTATTCTAGTGAGACAAGCTTGTTGGCCATTACAACACATCGGGATGCCCAATGATTTTCTAAGCGTAGCTTAGATATGGCACAAGGCCGAAAGAATGGGGTACCCAGTGAGGATCGACATCACTATACAGTCGTAATTATTCGAGTGAGACAAGGTTGTTGGCCATTACAACACGTCGGGATGCCCAATAATTTTCTAAGCGTAGCTTAGATACGGCACAAGGCCGAAAGTATGGGGTACCCAGTGAGGATCGACCTCACGATACAGTCGTAATTATTCTAGTGAGACAAGCTTGTTAACTATTACACCACTCCAAAATCCCCAAGTCCAGTATATATATATTTATAGTTTAACAGTATACTTACTTGTTTCCATTTCCCGGCCTGAATATATTCAATTTCCTTATCTCCTATGCTAAAATTGTCATAACCGCTCCATATGTCAAAGTATTTGTAGCTTTGGTATTTAATAAATGCATATTCAGAATTTAGATGATAAGTTCAGTGTAGGTTCCACCTTCCAGATGACCATTTGAAAAGTTCTGGCAACTGAAGAACATATGGTAATTGAACTTAAGTTAAATCTCCAGATACTCGTTCTCAAAATTCTATGTATATTATTCTACGGAGCGTAATCTTGGACACTAACTCAACACTGCTTTAACTCGTATTTTTTTTTTTATACAGATATATCTTCTTCTGCGTGTCGTGTCCTTTCAGGTAGTGGACAATCATGACTCTCCACAGCATCTTATTCATTATCGCTTTAAGTAATGGTAGTCCTTTTCCCAATTCCTCCTACCTCTGGTGACGCCAGCCAATCACCCAAACTGGAAAGGTAGATAGCATATTACACCTTGCCTGCTTTTGTTTTCGATATGCCGATTATCAAATTATCCAAGCCTCCCTTCCGTATTATGGGTATTTCTGATTCTGAGTATGATTTTTTGTTTCCATTTTCCAGAAAACCTCCACGTTCATTACGCGCACCATTCATGATATACTCAGCATCCATCTGTAGAACATTGATATTGGCTCATGCCTCCTCTTCATCTGTGAGTAAATTGTCCAGCATGCACTACACTAAAGGAGGATTATTACTGCATAATATTTCATCACTTTTTTTTTAGCTGCTCAAGTATCCTCTTGATCTGCACTCACTGCCATACAGTAAAATATATCTCTATCTATAAAAGGCAGGATGTGTGTCTGTGTGTTTGTGTGTGTGTAACGAATGCACGGCCGCAATTTTCGACGGGTTTGCACCAAAATTTACATGCACTTACTCCATGTAAGCGGGAAGGCCAAGACCGACTTTGCATTTCCCAACTTCGATCGATGGTGGAAATAATCGATTTTTCATGCTTCTACGGAAGTTTTCCTGTAGTTTGCAGCCATTTTCTACTGGCCAGAGTGAGAGCCTATAGCTGGTTGCCTCTAATAGGCAGGAAGATTCTATTGGCCAGCGTGAGAGCCAACAGCTGACAAATGTTAACTAGCATGCTAACATGCCAAAAAAATCGATAGCTGCATTCGTCACAAATAGGAAAAATTTAAATTTGCATGGCACTTTACTCCAATTGGCTCATTCGCTTGCTTAAATTCAACGTTGATTCTGATTCCACAGAACTGGGTTGGATGTGAAAAAGTATTTGTTGTTAACATTCTTTTTTCATTCGGTTTTTCCAGTTAGGAGTCCTTTGTTTAAAGCTGATCGTTTTGTGTTCATTTTGTTTAGTTCTTTTATCGTAACAGATTTAATGTTTAGTATAGAGCTTAGAAAAAATTCGCAGTGCAAGAAGTAAGGCATGTAGCAACATCAGCACGGCAAAGGGCACTTTTTTAAAGGCAAGGAAAGGCAAAAAAAAAAAGTGATAGCGATTTCTGTATGAGTCGTACGATTTTTGAATCAAGCACGGGCAACGCCGGGCCATGCTGCTAGTACTATATAGAAATTTAGCACACTATTCTTTCTGTTACGTCAAGTCTTCTCTTCACCTGTAAGGAAATTACCCAGCATTCACTGACATATAGGACGATTGATATTAAATAGCATTTCACCAGTCTTATCATTGCTTCTTTTGTCTCCTGTCTCTTCTTCATCTATAAGGAAACTGTCCAGCATCGCTTTCATATAGGAGGATTGATATTACATTGTATTTTATCACTCTTTTCTTTGCTTCTCTTGCCACAAACCTCCTCCTTATCAGTGTTGAAATTGGCCAGCATTAACTGCAATATAAGAGAATTTATATCACATAGCAGTTCAGCACATTTTTCTTTGTTTCTATTGCCACAAGATACCTCTTCAATTGTTCAGCATTCATTGCCATATAGGAGGATTGATATTACATAGTATTCCATCCGTCTCTTCTTAGCTTCTATTGCCTCAAGTATCTACTTCATCTGGGAGGAAATTGTCCAGCATTCACTGCCATACAGGAAAATATATACAATATAGAAATTTAGCACTCTTTTTGTTGCCGTTGTGTCAAGCCTTCTCTTCGCCTGTGAGGAAATTGTCCACTATTTACTGTTATATAAAAGGATTGATATTACATAGCAGTTCAGCCATCTTTGTTTCCGTTGTTTCAGTTCTCTTCTTCTAAGGAAATTGTTCAGCATTCACTGCCATATAAGAGGATTTATATTACATAGCAATTCAGCACTCTTTTCTTTGTTTCTATTGCATGAAGTGTTTTCTTTACCTAGGTTGGAATTATCCAGCACTCATTGTCTATATGGCAGTAAATGCTGGACAATTTCTTCGCAGAGGAATTGATATTACATAGCAAGTCAGCAAATTTTCTGTGTTCTAAAAGAACTTAAAGAATCAGAAACTAGAACATTCATTGAAGGGTCAACCGCTATCCATTTATTTTTATGCTCCCAAAACTACTAATATTAGGGCGTTGGGACAACCAAAATTCACTCCGTACTAACAAGAGCATGGTAAACACACAATGGAACATTTTATAGTAATCTAAAGAAAACAGAAAAAAATCATAGAAATAAAAGCTAGAGAATTGTAAATACTTGCCTCGAAGAGATACTTACCTGCTCTAGGGCTACGTCCCTGTTCTGGTGGTATCACGGTTACGACTAGCTTGGACCTGCTCTGACCAGTTTAGAGCAGCTATGACAAGCCAAGACAAGCTATGACTAGCTTAGATCAGCCTAACCAGCTTAGACAAGCTATGACCAGCTAAAACCAGCTATGACTAGCTTAGACCAGCTCTGACCAGCTTGGACAAGCTATGACCAACTAAGACCAGCTTTGACCAGCGGCCCGAGTGAAAACACTCGGGTCCCCACGTCAAAAACTGACCTTGTGTCACAACCTCACCCAGTGGCGGGGGGTCAAGTAAATATCCTTACCTGCACCAGGGCTCCGTTCCTGTGCTGGTGGTATCACGGCTACGACTAGCTTGGACCGGTTCTGACCAGGTATGACAAGCCAAGACCAGCTATGACTACCTTAGACCAGCACTGACCAGCTTGGACAAGCTATGACCAGCTAAGACCAGCTTAGACCAGCGGCCCCAGTGAAAACACTCGGTTCTCCACGTTTAAAACTAACCTTGTGTGACAACCTGACTCAGTGAGGGGTCAAGTAAATCTCTATTTGCCTCGAAGAGAAAGGAATAGTGATGAAAGCTAGTTGGGCTATATGGTCAACATATTTCCGATTAAAAAAAAAAGGAGGGAAAAATGATTGCAGATAGGGTTTTATTGAAAAGAAAAATGACATCCGTAGGTTGTATGGACCAGAATAGTTCGCAAAAGTGCCGAAACACTGTCAAAGATATCCATTCTGACGGTCTCAATCTTGAACTCATTCCTGTGATTAAATTTTCCGCGAACTTAACCATAACACCACCGCATTTACGCAATCAGGAAGCGAAAGAAGCGCTGAAATATAAATGCGTATTCTCTCTACTCAAAGGCTCGAACCTGAAACACTTTCCTAAAGAAACAATAACTCCACGCTCGGCGTTCTCTTTTGACGTGCGGATTATAATGATGAAGGCAGGATTTATGAGTCCGCGGTTAGATATGTTCGCTGAGCGCGAAATGAAGCAGGCGGTTGGCGTACTGAAGAATTCAATTATGCGTCGACGCCATTCAGGGCCTCAGCAGAAAGTCCGCCTGTCCATTAAACAAATCGATTTTCAATCTGCACATTCGATCTCATGACCTCAGCCGGGGGGTTAAAGTGATTGCCTGTCAGTCCAATTCTTTCAGCGATCGATCAAACTTACCGATTTGCAAGTCCCTTCTCTGTTTGATTTCGTTGTCTCTGCTATTACAACCTGTAGTCCGCTAGACCCTTTCTCGTGTGCATCTTCACCCCACACGCACCTTGTCTGAATTTTGTAATTTTCTTTCTTTCTTTCTTTCTTTCTTTCTTTCTTTCTTTCTTTCTTTCTTTCTTTCTTTCTCCGTTTATTTTTCTTTTCTTGTTAATTAGTTTTGCCTTTCCCGACTCCAGTTACTGTCGCTTCTCTTCTCTTTCTTTCTTTCTTTCTTTCTTTCTTTCTTTCTTTCTTTCTTTCTTTCTTTCTTTCCAATTGTCTATCTCTCACTCCAATCTCTCCCGCCGACTTTGTATATCTCTTCCTACTCTTTCCCTTACATTTTATTATATATATATATATATATATATATATATATATAAGAAACAGACAAACTTCTTGATATATATATATATATATATATATATATATATATATATATATATATATATATATATATATATGTGTGTGTATATATATATATATATATATATATATATATGTGTGTGTGTGTGTGTGTGTGTTGCTCGATTTCTTTTAGCGTCTTACATCTACCTTCTCTGGTTGATCTATTTGCGTTCTCTTTTTTCTCTCTCTCTTCTCTTCATTCCACCTTACATCGCCTCCTCTCTCTTTCATCATGATCTCTTTTCTCCTCTTTATATTCGACTGTTTCTTTATATTTTTTCTATTGTCTCAAACCACCTACCCGCTCTATAGAACTTCTTTCTTTCTTTCTTTCTTTCTTTCTTTCTTTCTTTCTTTCTTTCTTTCTTTCTTTCTTTCTTTTTGTATCTCTTTCTCTATCTCTTATCTCAACACCTTTTCTTCCACTCTTTCTTTGTATTTTGCCACCCTCTTAACTTCTATTAATCTCTCCTCCTACAATCTTCTGTTTCTCTCTCTCAGCGTCTTTATTTTCCCGCCTTCCCTCTCTCGCTTTATTCCTATACAATTTCTCTTCACTTTTTTTGTTTACTTTTTTCGTACGCTTATTCACCATTCCCCTTTTCCTCGTTGTATTTTTCCTCCTCCCTCTTCATTTATCATTCGGTCTCCCTCTCCCTATCTTCTCTCATACCGTTCGCATCAACTTCTCTCTTTCTTATTCCTTATGAAGTTCTATATTTCTCCCTCTTTTCTCTCTCCTCTCGTTAACTTCAGTTTCCCCTCCCTTTATTCTATCTTCAAACCTACTTATTAGGATGACATCTTAGGATTATCGCTTATTTCTCAGTTAATCTCTCTCTCTCTCTCTCTCTCTCTCTCTCTCTCTCTCTGTGTCGTTTTTGTAAAAACCTTTTCCTTTACCACCTTCGATATTTTTTTGTGTTTCAATTTTTATTCTTTCCTCATTGCTTTTTCTTCATTCCATCTCTTACGCTTGATTTTGTTTTTACCTGCAACTTTTGCGTATTCATTTCTCGCCCTTGTCTTCTTCCTTGCTTTCTTCCTTTCTTTCTTTCTTTCTTTCTTTCTTTTTCCTACCTTGTTTTTTTTTTTTCCTACTATTAATTTTCTGCATTTTTCTTTTGGCTTGACTTCTTTCTTTGTATTTTCTCTTTCTTCTTCTTCTTCTTCTTCTTCTTTTTGCTCTTTCATTCTCCCTGTCTTTCCTTCTTTTTTTTCTTATTCTTCATAATTTACTTAATCTTTCTTTATTCTCTGAGCTATTGCGTGCCTTATTTTTTCTCCATCTTTCTTTCTTTCTTTCTCCATTTTTTATTTTTTCCATCTTTCTTTCTTCCTTTCTTTCTTTCTTTCTTTCTTTGTTTTTTTCTTTCTTTCTCCATTTTTTATTTTTTCCATCTTTCTTTCCCCTTTCGCTCTCTGAGCCATTGACTTGCTTCTCTTTTTCTTTCTCCATCTTACTTTCTTTATTTCCACTTTTTATTTTCTCCTTTTTCCTTTACTCGTTCGCCCTATGAACAATTGACCCCTCTTCTCTATTTTATTCTTTCTTTTTTCTTCTTTTTCTTGGCTCCTTTGCTGTCTGTGCCATTGGCGTCTTTGTCTGTATTTTTCTTTCTCCATCTTCTTGCTATTTTTCCTTGTTTCTTTCTTTGTTTCTTTCTTTGCTTCTTTCTTTCTTTTTCATAATTTTTTCCTTTTCTTCATCTTTCTGCTCCCCCTTTCTTTTTTCTTTCATTCTCTCCATTTCTAATTTTCTCCATCTTGCTTTCCTTCTTTGTATTTTCTCTTTCTCTATCTTGCAGTTCTTTCTCTCTTTCTTTCTTTCTTTCTCTCTCTCTTTCTTTCTTTCTTTCTTTCTTTCTTTCTACTTTTATTTTCCTCTACGCCTTCCCGCCTCTGAGTCAGTGACTTCTTTCTTTACATTGTTCCTTTCCCTCCATTTCCCTACTATTTCTTTCTTTCTTCTTTTTCTTTATCTTCAGGTTTCTTTCTTTCTTCCTTCCTTCCTTCCTTTCTTTCTTTCTTTCTTTCTCTTTTTTCATTGTGTCCATTCTCCTTTATTTCCACCACCCCTTTTTCCTAACTCATTTTCAATATTTTTCTTCTCTTTACCTTTTATATTTTCTCTATTTTTGTCTATTTCCCACGGGATATCCTGGGATAATTTACTTCTTGCTTCTTCCTTCCAACTTTTTTCCAGTGACAGAAGTGATTTCAACTCGGAACTAATTTCAACACGGAACTAATTTCAATTCGGTATTAATTTCAACTCGGAACTAATTTCAACTCTATTTAAAAACCTCTAAGCCTAACCTTTAAGCCTAACCTTTAGTTCGGAGTTGAAATTTGTTCTAGTTGAAGTTAGATTCGAGTTGAAATGAACTCCGAGGTGGAATTAATTTTGCACTTCTTTTTCTACATTCGCCATTTTTTCTTCTCTTCTCTTTTTTTTACACCAGTCTCCACAGGCATTTCTTCTTTCTCTCTTTCTTTTTTTTTTATTCCTTTTCTCTTTATCTATATGTCAATTTTTATACTTTCTTTTTCGTACCGCTCATCTTTTTCATTCATTTCTTTATATCAACCTCTCTTCCTCTTTCGTTCACTTTTTCTTCTTTATTATTCATTATATGTTCATTCTTAATTTCTTTTTTTTTCCTTTCCTCTATTTTTCTCAATCTCCTTCTTTTTTATCCCGTTTGTCCTTCCTTCTTTTCCCTTCTTTCTTTCTTTCTTTCTTTTTCTCTCTATATTCTTCCTCTTCCCCCACCTTTCTTCTACCATGTCATTATTTCCGTGTCTGTCTCTACTCATTTCCTCTTCATTCTTTCGTTTTACTTCTTTTTCTTCTTTTTCATCTTTCTTCGTTCTTTCTTCTCTCTTCTTTTTTTCTCTTCAGTATTTCCTTACTTTTCCCTCCTTTTTTTCTCACTTTATCTCTCCAGGTTTCTTCGCCCTGTCATTATTCTTTTTTGTCCTTCTTCATCGTTGTTTCTCCTTCTCTTTTCTTTTTTCTTTCTTTCTGTTATGATGTTAATTTGGGGTTAATAAAGACAAACGCCAAATAACATGTAACAATAAAATGGGGTTTATTTGGTTGGTAAGTTGGTACAGATATCGCCTGAGTAGTCTATAACTAACTCAGCCCAGAACTTCTTCTACACTGTCTTTTGACATGCCACTAGTTAACGTCCTTGTTTGTAGACGAGTTCATCTTCAAGAGGGGTGGTAGATTCCTACACAACACTTTCTTTCACTCTTTATCACTATTCCTTTCTTTTTCTTTCTTATTTCTTTCTCCTTATTCCTTTCGTCTTCCTTTCTTTCTCTTTCCTTTTTCTTATACATTGTCCTTCCTTCGCCATTGTTTTCTCTGTCTCTTTCGTTTCTTTCTTTCTCTTTCCTTTTTCTTATACATTGTCCTTCCTTCGCCATTGTTTTCTCTGTCTCTTTCGTTTCTTTCTTTCTCTTTCCTTTTTCTTATACATTGTCCTTCCTTCGCCATTGTTTTCTCTGTCTCTTTCGTTTCTTTCTTTCTTAAATGCACATTTTTTTCTTTCTTCCTTTCTTTCTATTTTTCATTCTTCCTTTTCAATATACTAGTTTTTTTCTTTTGTTTGTCTTCTCTTTCGCTCTTTCGTCAACAATTTCTTTTTCGACGACCTTCCCTCCAATACCATCAGCCACTTCCTTTATTTATCGCTGGTTTATGCTAATTTTTTTTTTCACTTTTATTTTAAAATTTTATTCGTTCTTTAGTCTTTGACACACACAAATAAACCCAGGCATCAAGACACGGTGTTTCTGGGTTGACCAATTATTCTTCCTTAATCTCTATAGCTTAAGTCTATCTCTCAACATTTTTCAACTTGTCTTCTGCCTCTGCGGGGTCACGGTGGAATAACGGATTGAAGAGACGAAGAGCCGTATTCGATATTCCAGTCCAGTTTGGCTTCGGCTGGAGTAATTTCAAAATAATATTAAACTCAAACTTCAGGGAGAGGACATCAATACATCTCGGTACCTCGTTCGGCCCGAATCATTACCCGACGTCCACAAAAGGATAAGTGCCTAGGGGAGATTGAGCAATTTTTTCACGCTATTGCCGTTAAACCCACTATAAACCTTGTGTCAAATTCGGTTGCGACGTGGTCGCACTATAAATCCCCCATTACATTCACTTACATGCAAATACCCTTGGGAAAGGTATAAATCAATCTTTTCTATCCCCCACACAGATTTGGGTAAATAGCAAGACAGAATGGGTCCTGTAGCCTTAGTTGGTGATTAGTCTAGGAGAAGCAGAATTCAAGGAAATTTAAACCAGCCTGCAGGTGGTTACGATCCGTAAGACAGCCTTGTCCAGGACACGCCATTATTACTGCGGCTGAAGTGCACATGGTGCGCCTACAACCCTGATGGGTTAAGGAACTCGTGATCGTGATGTTGTCGGCGATATTTCGCATCTCTTTCTTACTTGCATCTATCTATTTTTTTAAAAAAATCAAACCTCTTAATAATTCTGCATCTTATATCCTCACTCGGACTTACAGCGTTATCACGTTGAAACATCAGTTCTCGTACGAGCTCTGAAGTTAAGCAACGTCAAACCCGGACAGTACGAAATATGGGTAAACGCTTCAGAATACAAGGTTCTATAAGCTTTGATGCGCAGATGGTGTAATGGATAACGGCCCACAATTGGAGATTGGGGAGCCGAGTTCAAGTACCAGTCGAGTACCACATATTCACTTACCCTTGGGAATAGTATGAATTCAACACTTCTCTCCCCAACGATGGGCAAATTAGTAGAACTAGTAGGTGCTGCTATAGTATGATATCTACGGATGTAGCGACCTACCGTAAATGACGATCACTCATTAGTGCTAGAAAATGCTCAGGAAAGACGATAACCTGTTTGTTTACTGTTCCTTTTAATGACTCCAGATCAGTTTACACATATTAAAAGCCCTATTTCCTGATTTTATTCTTTTGTATAAAATTATTAATGATTTTTCATTCATAATCAGTTCATTGTTCACAGCCTTTAATCATAAACCTAACCACTAAAAGTCTAACCCTAACTCCTAGGTCTAACCCTAACCCTAACCCCTAACCCTAACTCTAACGGTAACCCTTAACCCTCACCCTAACGCTAACTCTAACACTAACCACTAACCCAAACTCTAACCCTAAGCCCTAACCCTAAATCTAAACCTAACCCTCACGCCTAACCCCAACTCTAACCTTCACCCCAAGCCGTAACTCTAACCCTAACCCCTAACCCCTAACCCTAACCCCAAACTCTAACTTTAACCCTAACTCCTAACCCTCACCCCTAAAACTAACTCTAATCCTAAACCTAACACTAAACCTAAAACCTAACCCTCACCCCTAACGCTAAATCTAGCCCTAATCCCTAAGACTAACTCTAACCATAACACCTAACTCTAACTCTAAAGCTAACACCAACCCCTAACCCTAACCTCTAAAACTCACCCCTAACCCTAACCCTAAAACTAACGCCTAACCCTAACTCTAACCGTAACACCTAAACCTAACACTAACCCTAACCCCTAACCCTAACTGTAGCCCTAAACCCTAAACCTAACCCCTAACCCTAACCCCTAACACTAACTCTAATCCTAACCCCAGCCTTAAACCTAACACTAGCCCCTAACCCTCACCCCTAAACCAAAATCTATCCCTAACACCTAACCCAAGACCCTAAGCCTAACCCTAACCCGAAACCCTAACTCCTAACCCTAAACCCTAGCCCTAACCTTATCCCTAACCCTAAATCTAACTCTAACCCCAACTCCTAACACTAAATCTAGCACTAACCCCTAACCCTAACGCTATCCCTAACCACTAACCCCTAACCCTACCCCTAACTCTGACCCTAACCCCTAATCCTAACTCTAAACCTAACCCTAACCCTAACCCTAACCCCTAACCCTAACCTCTAACCCTAACCCCTAAGCCTAATTCTGACCCTGACCCCTAACCCTAACTCTTTCCCTAACCACTAACCCCTAACTCTCACCCCTAACCCTAACCCTAACCCTCACCCATACCGCTAACTCTAACCCTAACCCATAACCCTAACTCTAACCCTCACCCCTAACCCTTAACCCTAACCCCTAACTCTCACCCCTAACGCTAAATCTAACGCTAACCCCTAACCCTAACTCTAACCCCTCACCCCTAACCCCCACCCCTAAAGCTAACTTTAACCAACACCCTTAACCCTCACCCCTAACGCTAACTCTAACCCTAACCCATAACCCTAAGTCTAACCCTCACCCCTAACCTTCACCCCTAACCCTCACCTCTAACGCTAACACTAACCCTAACCCCTAACCCTCACCCCTAACGCTAAATCTAACGCTAACCCCTAACCCTAACTCTAACCCGCACCCCTAACGCTAACTCTAACCCTAACCCCTAACCCTAACTCTAACACAAACCTCTAACCATAACACTAATCCTAACCCCTAACCCTCACCCCTATATCCTATTCTCTTTCTTCTATACTCTCTTTCTTTTCACTCTCTCCCTTACTCTCCCTCAGTCTATTTATTCTCTTTCTGAATATCCTATTCTCTCTTCCCTCACTCCTACTCCCCGACAACCTATTCATTCTCTTTCTATATTTCTTTCATACTTTCTCTCTCTCTTTTCCTCCCTTTTCCTCCCTTTCCGTATGCCTATTCATTCTCTGTCTGTCTGTATTGTTCTCTCCTCCTCTCTCTCTTCACCGCCCTTTCCTTCCTTTACGCTCTGTCAGCCAATTCACCCACTTTCTGAATATCCTATTCTTTCTCTCTCTCCTACTCTCTGTCAATGTTTCATTCGCTTTCTGTGTGTTCTATTCTCTCCGTTACGCAATCTCTCTCTCTCTCCCTCTCTCTCTCTCACTCTCTCTCTCTTCACCGTTCTTTCCCGGCTTTACTCTCTTTTCAGCCCATTCATTCTCATTTATTTCGCTTTTGATTCTCTCGCATTGCTGGTCTCTCTTTTCAACTTCCATTTGCCTTTATCATATCCCCTTTCTTTATCTCTCCCGACTTTCTCTCAACGTATTCATTCTCTTTCTATACGTCCTCGTCTCTCACTCTCCGATTTTCTCTCTCTACCTTACTCTCTGTCACTCTTCAATAGTCTCTCACTCTCTCTTACTCTTGCATACTCTCGCTCTTCCATACGCTCATTTCCTGTTTTCTCATTTCTTCTCTGTCAGGCTATTCATTCTCTTTCTGGATATACACATTTCTCATTCTCTCTCTTTTCCCTGCTATCTCTCTCTCTTACTATCTGTCAACCTATCCATTTTCTATTTTGGTTGTCCTCTTCTCTCTTTCTTACCCTCTTTCTTCGCTGTTCTTTCTCTCCCTTACTTTTTGTCAGCCTATTCATTTTCTTTCTGGCTGTCCTCATCTCTCTTTCCTACTCCCTCTTTCTTGCCCCCCCTTATTCTCTTTCAGCCTATTCATTTTCTTTCTGTCTGTCCTTGTCTCTCTTTTCTATTCTCTCTTTCTTGTCCCCACTTACTCTCTTTCAGCCTATTCATTTTCTTTTTCTGTCTGTCCTTGTCTATCTTTCCTACTCCCTCTTTCTTGCCCCCCCCCTATTCTCTTTCAGCCTATTCATTTTCTTTCTGTCTGTTCTTGTCTCTCTTTTCTATTCTCTCTTTCTTGTCCCCACTTACTCTCTTTCAGCCTATTCATTTTCTTTCTGTCTGTCCTTGTCTCTCTTTCCTACTCCCTCTTTCTTGCCCCCCCCTATTCTCTTTCAGCCTATTCATTTTCTTTCTGTCTGTCCTTGTCTCTCTTTTCTATTCTCTCTTTCTTGTCCCCACTTTACTCTCTTTTCAGCCTATTCATTTTCTTTCTGGCTGTCCTCATCTCTCTTTCCTACTCCCTCTTTCTTGCCCCCCTTATTCTCTTTCAGCCTATTCATTTTCTTTCTGTCTGTCCTTGTCTCTCTTTTCTATTCTCTCTTTCTTGTCCCCACTTACTCTCTTTCAGCCTATTCATTTTCTTTCTGGCTGTCCTCATCTCTCTTTCCTACTCCCTCTTTCTTGCCCCCCTTATTCTCTTTCAGCCTATTCATTTTCTTTCTGTCTGTCCTTGTCTCTCTTTTCTATTCTCTCTTTCTTGTCCCCACTTACTCTCTTTCAGCCTATTCATTTTGTTTCTGTCTGTCCTTGTCTCTCTTTTCTACTATCTCTTTCTTGTCCCCCTCACTCTCTTTCAGCCTATTCATTTTCTTTCTAGCTGTCCTCGTCTCTCTTTCCTAATCTCTCTCTCTCTCTTACTTTCCCCCTTACTGTCTGCCAGCCTATTCCTTTTCTTTGTGGTTGTCTTCTCTCTTTCCTACTCTCTCTTCGTTGTTCTTTCTATCCCTTACTCTTTGTCAGCCTGTTCATTTTCTTTCTGGTTGTTCTCGTCTCTCTTTCTTATTCTCTCTTTCTTGTTCCCCCCTACTCTCTTTCAGCCTCTTTATTTTCTTTCTGGCTCTCCTCGTCTCTCTTTCTTATTCTCTCTTTCTTGTTCCCCAATTACTCTCTTTCTGCCTAATCATTTTATTTCTGGCTGTCCTCGTCTCTCTTTCCTAATCTCTCTTTCTTTTTACCCCCTTACTCTCTTTCAGCCTGTTTATTTTCTTTCTGGCTGTCCACGTCTCTCTTTCTTACTCTCTCTTTCTTGTTTATTCCCTCCCTTACTCTCTGTCTGCCTATTCATTTTCTTTCTAAGTGCCTTCTTCTCACTTTCCTACTGTCTCTTACTTATTCTTTCCCTACCTCACTCTCTTTCACTCTATTAATTTTCTTTCTGGGTGTTCTCTTCTCTCTTTCCTACACTCTTCCTTACTCTCCGTCAGCTTATTCATTCTCTTTATATCTCTCGCTTTCCTTCTCTCTCTCTCTCTCTCTGCTATTTTCCTTTGCCATTATCTTTCCCCTTTCTCCTTCTCTCTCCCTCTCCCAGCTGTTATATCTTAAACATCGTTTCCTTATTTATTGAAATCTATTTTTTTTCCTATAACAGTCGCTGTTATTCTTCAATCTCGCATTTTCGATATCTTACAAAGGTTATTATGTGATCTATTCCAGTGAAAAAAACTTTCTCGGCACTTTCTTTTCTTTTTTTTTTTTTCATTTTCATTTTTCACTTCTCTCTTGTCAGGAGACTTTCGTTGTCTTTCTATTCACTTTCCAAATTTCCTCATCTCTTTCTACTTCTAAACTTGCAACAAAACAACCGACAAATCTTTCCTATCAGTCGGATTTGCAGTGACTCCAATCTTTCCCCGTCTTCTCGCCTTCCCGCCACTTGCCAGGAACGCTTCAACATTCTCACTTGATCTTAAGAATGTAGCGATAAGTACATGTGCGCATGCTCACGACTCGACCACTTGAAATAATGGCGTTGGCTTTCCCATTGAACATTTGTCGATTTGTTTGTTTCTTGTTCCGCCGTTGGATTTCCTCTGTAATCCAGTTTGTGTCTTTTTATTTTTAATTTTTGCAATTCTAAATTATCGTTCGTTGAATTTATTAGTGGACATTAAGAAAAAGAGGCTTAACCAATATGTTACCTTCGATTGTTTTGCAGTATTCCCACTTAATTAGTGTTCGATCCGATATTTTATTAATATCCAGTAATCTATGTAAATTGAGTAATATCGGCTATTGACCTCTGTTAACCATTTCATATCTATCTATCTATCTATCTATCTATCTATCTATCTTACGCAGTCTGTTCATATCTATCTATCTATCTATCTATCTATCTATCTATCTATCTATCTATCTATGGCAGTTTTTTCATTATCTATCTATCTATCTATCTATCTATCTATCTATCTATCTATCTATCTATCTATCTATGCCAGTCTTTTCATTATCTATCTATGCCAGTCTTTTCATTATCTATCTATGTATTCTAGTCTTTTTCATTATCTATCTATCTATCTATCTGTCTATCTATCTATCTATCTATGCCAGTATGAATGAATAAGAAAAAAGAAAAGAAAAGAAAAAAAGCGAGGACAATAAAAGAAAAGGAATGAAGAAGGGGGTACATATTGATTTAAGTTGTATGTAAATTTTTGAAAAGCAAATTCGTCTTGAAAGCAAGAAGTCGGAATAGATTTTCGCAGTCTAGATAGAAGTGCGAGAAAAGAAAATATTATCAAAGAACTTACGGTCACATCTAATCAATTCAACTGTAAAATGCTGAGTGCTTGCTGCCAATATGGTACTGCGCTTAAATTCATAAAGTCTAGTTAAAATAAAGGAGAGTTCATCAAAAGAATTACCATGAAAGTATTTATAGAAAAGACACAGAGAGGCTGCTTTACAGAGGAACTTGCATGTTCTACTCTTGTATTGAACACTTTTTTAAAATTAATGTTATGAACGTTTAAATTTATATGCTTTTTGTTCTTTTCCATTTGTGTATATATATATATATATATATATATATATATATATATATATATATATATTATAATTTGTTCATTTAGACAAAAACAATAACAATTTAGAATTACAAATCTATATGAAAAACTTTTAATAAATAATTATTGCTCTACTATCGGTATTGAGCCCTGTTATGAATTAATGCTGTGAACGTTAGAATGTATATATTACTAGCAGTAGAGCCCAGCCTTGCCCGGGGATGTAACAGTAAGAGATAGATCAAGTATCGACCATCATAAAGACTGAAAAATAAAATTGACAAAGATTATTGCTTAAGGTTGACGGACATGCATGTCTTAATTAGTTTTTTTTTTTTTTTTTACGAATTGGTCAAACCCAAATTCAAACAAAAACATTGTTTACAATCGTTATGAGTCTATCGATTGGTGAATAGAATTATGTTATAAACAATTGTCTTGTAAATGGAATTTTTAAAGCATTCTGAATGTATAAATAAAGAAAAAAAGTGTGCAAGACAATAAATACTACCCCAAAAAAAAAAAAGTGGATGTTTGTTTTATCGGCTGAAAAATGTAAGAAATTCGATCCCATATATAAAGGAACACACACACACACACACACACACACACACACACACACACACACACACAAACAACCTGGGTTTTTAACCTAAGTCACTCCACGGAATCGCTAAAACATAGAGCATAGTCTGATGAAAAAAGACGCCAAAGTTTATGAAAACAAAATTTTATCGTCAAAATGCTTATGTTTTTATGAAGAGGCTAGACTAAATTTTTTTTAATTATTTTAAAATTTTTCTATCTTTTTAGAATATTCTAAATTTTGATTTAAAAACCTTGTTTCTCTTTGTCGCAACAAGGGGTAGTAAATAACATAGATAATTTTTAGCGCGTTTTTTGTATTTTGTATTAATTTGGAAAATTTTGCAAAAATAAAAATAATTGTCAGATGTTAATGAAACTTTCAGAAACTATTCACAGATGATCGAAATTATTATAAATATGTTTTTTTTTTTTAAAGTCATGGCAAAAATATTTTTTTTTATATTTATTAACACCCCCATAACTAATTTTATGAAAACTCTAGAAATTCAGACCATCGGTTTTAGTGATTACAATAGTTAAAAGCACAAGGCTTTGAAGGATGCAAATCATGTTTTTTTTTTTTTTTTTGCCAACGTACCTGAAAATTAGCTGTGAATTGTAACATACAAAACTCAATAAAACAAATATATTATTTAGTTTCAAATGCTTTTATTTGTTTTAATTTGTTTTTATGAATATGGAAAATATTTTCTGAAAGCAAAAAATTTTTTCAATGAAAATTGAATTTTTAATACAATTATTTCTTATTTCTTTAATTTTAAAAAGATTTTTCAAAAATTTTTAAATTGAATTTTTAAAAATATTTTAACATAAGTTAAAAGCAACATCAACCTTTCAAAATGTCTGTGTGAGATTGTCATTGACTAGCGCTTTGAAAATTGTATAATTTGGACCAATCAGATTAGCCATGGTAATTAAGAAATGTAATTTTTGTGTTTATAGTCGGACAGTAATTATCAAGTACGGAAGACCAACCAGAATGCAATTTAGTTGCATTATTTGAGTTCAGCATTGTTCTCCGCTGTTAAGCCCTTTACTTTTGCGAAACACGGATGGAGAAGTTAATTTGAGTTTTCAATTTCAACTGAGAAGGGTACCTACAAGTAACAGTATCATCTTATGAAATTTAACTACTGCTAAACTTTAATTTATATGATCTTATTTTTATATTAATCTCAGTTATGACATTTTTCCATAAATGAAATTTATCAAAATTAATAATAAAATGAATGGAAATACAAATAACACAGTAAAATGTAATAAATGTACATAAAATTATAGTATTTTATGTACACTTCTGATAAAATTTCATAAGAAAGGTACCTAAATTAATTAGATACCTTCTTTTTATGAAATTTAATCTCACTATTAACAGTCTTATTTTTTTAATTTCTTTATATTTTCCATAAAGCACCGTAAACGTAAAAATGAAAGCTAAGTACAAAAAAAAAAAAAAATTAGAGCGCTGAAAGTTTTCCTTAAAAGTAACGAGGTAAATAATTTGTTCACTTAAATAATTTCACTTCCTTCCATCCGTAGAAAGAATTATCCTCCCGTAAGTTATCTAAACGTCATGAATGTGCCTTTCGTCAATCGTCAAGCGACGCGAAAGGTTTGACCTGTTTTTTTTTTTCAAATTACATTTTTCGGCGCAGAAGCTAAGTTAAGCTTGGTTCAAAATATTTTAAATAAACAGTATAATTTCTGTTTTTATTAAAATCAGTTTTGAAAAAATGATAATTGATTTTTGAAAGAAGATCAAAGTCAGATTTTAATCTTTTTTATCAAATCGAAAAAAATGATTGAAAATGATTAATTTAATTATCTGTCCTTTTTTTTGACCAAACGAAAATTTCAGACGTGCTAGGAAAGATTAAAAAATGTAAAAAAAATACCCCCAAAATAATTTGATTTTTCCCCTTTAATAATAATATGAACATTAGACGATAAAATTTTGTTTTCGTCAAGTTTGGCTTTTTTTTAATCATGCTATGCTCTTTTGTTTACATTTTCGTGGGTGAGTTGTCCCCTTTTCATTCTCACGATGTGATTTAATCGTGTTTTCAAATTGATTTTCATAAAAAACAGTTATGTTTTTCCCAGTTTCGGCACCGTTAGAACCACCACAAGGTAATTTTATGTAGTCCTGTGAAGTTTTGTTGAAATCGGCTAAAAAATGTAGGAAATTCGATCCAATATATAAACGTTACAGACATACACACACACACACAATCTGCGTTTTATAATAAGTAAGATTTTCGTTCTCATTACATTCGGGTATACACACACACACACACGCGCGCGCACACACACACACACACACACGCATATATATATATATTATAAACTGTTACATTAGAACATGCAAGATGTCTAAATTAAACATCGAAAAAATATGCATTTTTGTCGTGGTAACTTGCATGTTCCAGTGTAACAGTTTATAATAAATAACTAGTGCTCTACTCTTGTATTGAGAGCCCTTTTTAAAATTAATATTAAGAACGTTTAAATTTATATTCTTTTCGTTCTTTCACAGACACATATAAATACATACATACATACATATATATATATATATATATATATATATATATATATATATATATATATATATAATTAATATATAACTCAGAAACAACACATGATTAATCATATTCTCATATTTTTTTGACCCTAATTCTGGGGAAAAATTGGAAAACTAAACCATGCAGTATGCACTACCCCCCCCAAAAAAAAAAAATGCATAATTTTAATTGATATAAAAAAAATAATTCATTAATTCATTTTTTTTCTCTAATGTCACAGGGAAGCTAAGTTATAAAGGGTGGGAAAGGTGATTGAAGCCTGGATGCCAGGTCAGGACAAATATCGTGGCAGGTTTTTATTTGGGGTGGGGTATCAAAGAACTCTCAATATATAGCGGAGTCACCA